TCCTCCCTCCTCCCTTCCTTCCTTTACTCCTTCCTTCCTCTTTCCTTCTTCCTTCCTTCCTCATCCTTTTCTTTTTTTTCCTTCTTCCTTCCTTCTTTTTCTTTCTTTTCCTTTTTTCTCTTTCCTTCCTTCCTCTTTTCTTCCTCTCTTTCCTTCCTTCCTTCCTTCCTTCTTTCTTTCTTTCTTTCTTTCTTTCTTTCTTTCTTTCTTTCTCTCTTTCTTTCTCTCTTTCTCTCTTTCTCTCTATGCCTCTCTCCCTCTTTCCCCCCCTCCTCCTTTTTCTCTTTCTTTCTTCCCCATCTCTCTTTTCCTTCCTTCCTCCCTTCCTTCCTTTCTTCTTTTCTTTCTTTTTTGACAACAAAGCTTAGGCCTCAGCCTGCTAATCTTGCCCAGCTCATTCTCCTAGTTAGAATTTAACAAACTTTGTTTGGTTTTCAGCAAATTTACTTTTCCAGTTGTTTGTTCATGGTGTGGGCTTCTGGTTTTCCATTCTGTTTTTGTCAATAAAGTTTTATTGGCACTTAGCCACACTTGTACACAATAGAATGTACACATTCTATTATTCTGACTGCTTAAAGCCTACACAGCAGAATGGAAGCTGCACTAGAAGCCATCCAGCCCACGAGGCTTGAAATACGGACTATTTGGCCCTTTACAGAAGTAGTTTACTGAGCCCTCATATAGCGGGCGCACCCATATCATGAAAACATATATATCACCTGATAAGTAAGGGATTGACATTGGGAAAACATTAGAGAAACTAGACATGAGTCCCGTTGGCAGGGCCGTGAGTGGTCACCGAGAACGCCCAGCCTTCCCTTGCGGGTCTGCTGTGTCACGCTGAGGCACTGCTGTGATGACCTCAGGAGCCGGGATTTGATGTTCCGGGGGACTGAGGCTGGATGAATTGGCGAGGTATGGGACACAAGGGTGTGCGTGTCCAATTTCTCTGTCTTTTCCTCCCGGGTCAGACTTGAATTTTCTTTTCTATCTTAGGGCGCCAGACCTTGTTTCCCATTTAGTTTTCTGGTAGCATTGAGCAATCTTCTCTTTCCAGCTGATTATTTAGTTACAGTATCTGCCTCCAATTCAACAAGCACCTATTGAGCTTAATGCTGAATTGGAGATACAGACATGAGACACCACTTGTCTCTCGGGCCACTCACATTTTGTGGAATTCATCACCACAATTGCTCACCACCACCACCACTACCACCACCACAACCACCACCATCATCACCACCACCATTATCACCACCACCACTATCACCAACACCACCATCACCACCATCACCATTATCACCACCACCATCACCATCACCATTATCACCACCACCATCACCATCACCACCACCACCACCACCATCACCATCACCGCCACCACCATCAACACCAACACCACCATCACCACCATCACCATAATCACCACCACCATCACCACCACCACCAACACCACCATTGCCACCATCACCACCATCACCACCAACACTAACACCACCAACACCACCGTCACACAAATGAGACAACTTTAAATTGCCTGCATGCTTGACCACAGCCCAGGTGCCACAAATGGTCTTAGAGAGAAAGTTTCTGAAGAATGTTGGGAACCCCCATCTTGCTCAACAGCACCAGCCCCCTTGTGCAATGTCCACCAAGCTGAAAACAGATAGGTCAAGGTTGTTCTTTGCCAGGAAGATCTTTCTATGGCTTTGCCCAAGTTCCCCAGGAAAGTGTTCGTGGCTGAGGAAGTTGTATATTATATTTGAATGGTTCCTAAATACATTTTCTAAGACTCTGTTTCTAGTTTACTTATTTGCTTACTCTACTTTTGTCACTTAGAGAAGACCCAAAATTCAGTGAGTAGGTGTCCGGCAGCCACCAGGAATAGAAAACAGGCGAGTCATACTCAGCAAAGCATGACCAAGGCTTGGAGGGCTCTCATCACTGAGACGCCAAGACAAACACACTCACCGCCATCGCTGTGGATGTGGTGGCTTGTGGTTCAATGCCAATGGGGGAAAAGGAAAAAAAGTCAAGAGGGTAGCATAGAAATGATTTCCCTCATCAACATCTGTACAGAGCATACCTGTGGCATCGGGCAGAGGACCTACAAAGTACATCACAGCCCTTTGGGTAGTTTCCACAAGAACTGAGGTTGACAGATACTTGCAAAAACAGTGCCTTTATCTCAAAAACAGAGGCCCTTGGCTTTAGCCAACCATATTGGCAAAGACATATCTGGGTGAAAGTTATAAAGGGAGGAATGAAGAATGGCGGACAAACCAAACCTGGGGAAGAGTTGGGGGCAAGGAGGCAGAAGCCGGGGCAGGTCCCAACTTTGGATGTTGACGGGCGATGTCATAGCCGTTGTCCAGTATGGTAGCCTCTGACCTGTGTGGCTGGTGGCCCTTGAAACGTGGGTGGTTTGACTGAGAGACTGAAGTTTTAGCTTAATTTAATTTGAATCCATTTAAATTTAAAAAGTGATGTGTGATTCTGTTATTAGAATTCTTGAAGCATGTTTGGAATAACTCTGGCTGATGAATGTAGCTTCTCAAGTGTATATTTTGTGAAATTTATAATATTTTTTACAAATATAAAATTTACAAAATTTACACATTTCCAGTAGAAACAAAACACCCAAATTGACGTGTGCATAAGTATAAAATGCACAATGGATTCTGAAGACTTAGCACCACAAAAAAAAAGACTGTAAAATATCTTCCTAATAGTCTTTTGATTTTGATTTTGTGTTGGAATAATATTTTAGATGTCGGGATTAAAGAATGTATTATAAAAATTAATCTGACCCTCTTCTTTTTACCCTTTTTAAAAACTTTTTTTAGTGTTTATTTATTTTTGAAAGAGAGAGAGAGAAAGAGACAGAGCCTGAGGGGAGGGGCAGAGAGAGAGGGAGACACAGAATCTGAAGCAGGTTCCAGCCTCTGAGCTGTCAGCACAGAGCCTGACAGTGGGGCTCGAACCCACGAACCATGAGATCATGACCTGAGCCAAAGTTGGAGGCTCAACAGACTAAGCCACCCAGGAGCCCTTTCTTTTTACCCTTTTAATGTGATTAGTAGAAAACATGAAATTACACATGTGGCTTACATTGCACTTCCCCTGGAAGCTGCTTCCACAGTTGGTCAGAAGCAGGTCAGTGTCTCTTGATGCCCTCTGTCCCCTGCCTACACCCCGGCCACACCTCAGGAGTAAATGTTTGCCAAGAAGCTGTTGTTCACCCAGAGAGGAAGTAAGGTATAATTAGAAAAATGAATCACAGGTTAGAAATTTTACAGCTCCCGGTGTTATCGCGGACTCTGGAACATTCTACAGCCTCAATCTAAGTAGTTTGCTGGGAATTTCAGCTTAGATCACCAAATGAGATTGGCCCAGGTACCCCACAAGTTCTGTGCCCTGGATGTGCTGTGCTCCACCGACCGCAGAAAGATTTTGGAGTTCAAGATATATCGCAGTGCAGTATCTCTGAAAATCTAAAATTATTTTAAATTGAGGAGCGCCTGCGCGGCTTGGTCAGTTGAGCATCCAACTTTGGCTCAGGTTAGGATCTCACGGTTTATGAGTTTGAGCCCCATGTTGGGCTCTGTGCTAACAGTGTGGAGCCTGCTTGGGATTCTCTTTCTCTCTCTCTCTCTCTCAGCCCCTCCCCCACTCATCCTTTCTTTCTCTCTCTCAAAATAAATAAATAAACTTAAGACAAATGAAAATAAAATAAAAACGGAAATTATTTCAAGTTTGGAAGTTCATCAAAAAAATATGTCCCAGGTCTTGGACATGAAACCACCCAGAAGATTCCTCATTTGGGGGCCCCAAAATGTACTTTTTTAAAGTACTTTTGAAGGAGTCATGCTCTAGCTGGGAAGATGTTTCCCCTGTGATGGACACAGAGGAGACCCTGTTGGATCCACCCAGTGTGACCACAGACAGGTCCCCTAGCCTACGTGAGCCTCACTTTCCCTGTCTGGAGAATGGGTGTTATAATAGTGGCCACAGCAGGAAGCTCTTCCGAGGATTGAAGGCAGTATTCTGTGTAAACGGCTTAGCGCCTGGCCCTCCGCCGTGTCGCCAGCTTTCCGTGGATAAATAGTGTCCCTTCTCGCCTACTCTTGAGTCTGACTCCTTGTCCTTTCCTTCAAGTTTCGCCTCCCACATCCCTCCTCCGTAGCACACGGCCCTTTCCCCACGAACCTTCCTTCTTCT